CCATTGCAGTGGCCGGCTACCAGGAAGGGCTTTCGCGCCTGCTGCGCTGGAACATGCTGCCCGTGGCGCTGATGGTTGTGCTGGCACTGTACAACGGTGGCAAGTCAACAGGTATTTTGCTGGGGATCTCCGTTTTTTTTATATTTACCTGGTACGCCAGCGGTTGGGAGCATAATATCTACCGGAACAGGAAACGCAGTTTGGAAACCTTGCAGGACAAACTGCAAAATGAAATGCCGGGTGAGGGAAATAATCACTCATCTTTAGTGTAGTATTGGCAGTTTTTTTCAGCAGCATACAACAATAAATGTATGGACGCCAGAATTGACAACTATATAGCAGCTCAATCCAACGATCGGCAGGCGGTTCTAAGGCAGATTCATGCAATTATTATTACAGCCGATAAAACAGTGGTTGCTGCTGTGGAACCAATGATGGGAAAGGAAATGATTGTGTACAAAGGCAGCGGATTGATGAAATATGGTTTGGCCGGGGTAAAGAATTATATGTCGTTGCATGTGATGCCCATCTACGGATCAAAGCCCCTGTATGCAAAGTACCAGTCTCTTTTACCCGGGGCAGGTTTCCAGAAAGGCTGTATTAATTTTACCAGTGAGCAACAAATGCCTTTGGCTATTGTGCAGCAGCTAATGGCGGAATGCGCAAAAATTGACCTGTTTAAAATGAAGGAGGATTACCAGAAGGCTAAGCGATCAAAAAATAAGCATAAGTGTTAAACCGACGGAGATGTAAAATGCAGTATCAACTGTCAGTGAGCATCCTCTGGCTCCAGCTTTCACCTGTTGCGGATAAGTTTGTTTTTTCTTATATTCAATAGCGCTTAGTAAATCCTGCCAATTAGCAGGCAGCCAAAATAGGTAGACGATTTTAATCATTAGGTATGCAAATAAAAAAGCTTTTCGTTATACTGCTTTTCTCTTTTTCCGGTAGTATAGGTTTCTGCCAGGAGAACGCCGCCAGCCAGCCAAATTATATGGGCAGTTTTGTATTACCCATTTTAATTGCCGTTGTTGGTTATGTGCTGAAATCGGTGTACGATATAGTAATTGACCGGCAAAAGCGGAAAAGAAGCCTGGTGGAGGATAAATTGAAGAATTTTTACTGGCCTATTCTAACCCGACTGGAACAGAACAGTTCTATCTGGAAGCTGATACTTCAGAAAAGAAGTGAGATGAATGCGCTGCAGAAAAAGATAGGAGAGTATGTAGAAGAGAATATCATCCTCAAAAATCACCGTGAAATAATGGACATCATTATAAAATACAGGTACCTGGCCAAGTTTGACGACGATTTAAGCACCGCATTGAATGATTATTTCAGGCATGTGGCCATTTACGAGGGCATTCTGCATGCAAAGGAGAATATTTTTCCCGGTTATATCGGTGCACCTTATCCCAATGAATTTGATGTAATTATTCAAAAACGGGCCATAGAATTGCAGCTGAGGCTGGATAATAAATCATTGGTATGAAGGTATTTGCATGAATTCTTCTAAGAATATTGCTGGTAGTTGAACTTTTACGGGTGGTTTTACAGCTGAATGCGTTGATTCGGTTTTTCGGTATACCTTGATTTTTATGATACATAAACAAATACGTGTTCCGGAGAGAACGGAGTTTAAATTTATTTACGGAAGGGCGCTGTTGGTTTTCAGTCTGGCAATCCTGGTATTTTCCGGAGTATGGGCACAGCCTGGTGGAGCTCCGCAGCAGCGCTTGCCTTCGGGAAAAGATATGATTATTCCCTTTCATTTAACCGCTTTTAACAATATGGCGGTGCAAGCCATCCTCAATGAAAAAGATACGGTGCAGTTAATGTTTCATACTGCGGCCAACGCACTTACCCTTACGGAGGAGGCTGTAAAGCGGCTAACAACTGTACAATTTGATAATACCACAGACAGTATTAAAAGCTGGGGTGGGGAGGCAAATACTTCCCGGCTCAGCAAAGATAACCTGCTGCAACTCTCCGGATTGCGATGGCAGCATGTGCCTGTCTGGGAGAACGTTAATTCCGGCCAGGGCACAGATGGTAAATTTGGTATTGATCTTTTTGAAAATAAGGTAATCGAAATAGATTTCGACAGGCAGCTAATCGTTATTCATACCGCGCTCCCGGGGAAAGCAAAAAAATACAACCGGCTGCCACTGATCTTTGAAAACGACAATATGTTTGTTATAGCTGATTGTATTATTGCGGGACAGGCTGTGAAGAACAGGTTTTTGATCCATTCCGGCTATGCAGGTGCAGTTTTGCTGGACGACCAGTTTGTAAAGGAGAATGCAGTAGGTGAAAAGTTAACGGTAACCGGAGAGAAAAGCCTGAAAGATTCTTTCGGGAATATTGTAAAAACCAAAAAAGCCATATTGCCCGCACTGAAAATTGGTCAAACGCAATTGACCATGGTGCCGGTTGGGTTCTTTGAAGGCGCCATCGGAAGGCAGAAAATGAGTATCCTGGGCGGCGATGTGCTGAAAAGATTCAATATCATCATTGATGCACAAAGAAAATTTATTTACCTGCAGCCGGATAGTTTGAGGTCTGCCAATTATCAGAACAATTAATTTCACATAGCTGAAATCAGTCCGTGGTCAATAAGGTTGTTTTTATCAGCAACAAAAAAGTGAAGTTCCCCCGTTTGACTATTCATTCCTGCTGGTATGACGGTACTTCTTATATCCCGTTCTTGCGCCTGGCAGCGGCTGGCAGGCAGCACTTTTACTTCTTCCCGGAAATTGTTTACCTTATAGCAAATTCTGCCTGGCTGCTATGAGTAATTTATTACCGCAACAAAAGAAATTGGCGTATGGTTGGCACCTGCTTGAAAACCTATTGTTTACAGGCTTCGCGCTTTCCATTCTTTACGTCACCATCAACAGCTTTTTCAACGGCACCTGGCAAAGCCTTCGCGGCATGGGCTTTCTAAATGATATTACCGACCCCATCAGCAAGAGAACATATTACCAGGCAGTATTGGCTATTTTATCCATTCTTACCACATTTTTTCTGCTGGTAGAAATGATCAAGTTGTTTGTGCAGTTTAACCCTTTTAGAAATTTTACGGTCAAACGCAGGCAGTTGCAGCAGGAGATGAACGGGATGTCGTTTGCTGGTAAAACAGGGCATCTGTTGCGGCGGATGGTCAATGCAAAATTCCTTTCGGCTTTTCTGCGCAATTACAAAACCAATTTCCTGGCCAGGGTTTTTAATGAGTATATTTCGAAGCTCTTTATCATATTTGTCTATATAGAAATGATGCCCTTCTTTCACCGGTATGCATTGTTTACTGTGGGCAATAACTGGTGGGGCTGGCTGTACGCCTACCTGATGTGGGAGCTTACTTACTGGATTTGGCATTACCTGGGCCACCGCGTGCGGTTATTCTGGTGCCTGCACGCGCCGCACCATGCACCCGCACAGATGAATCTTACCGTAGCCTGGGTACATTTCTTTGCAGAGGGTTATTATACCGCTGCTGTGCAGGTACCCCTGCTGATGATTTTTGGGGTAAGTCCTGAAATGGTTGCCATTATACTGGTAATAGATGGCACCTGGGGTACCTTTATTCATTGCGGCGAAGGCGCTTTTAAAAATGGCCGCCTGGGCTGGATGGAGAAATTTTTTATCACACCTTCTCATCACCGGGTACACCATGCCCGCAATCCCCTGTATATAGATACCAATTTCTGTGTGCTGCTGCCTTTCTGGGACTGGTTGTTCGGCACCTTGCAGAATGAAAAAAAGGAAGTAGCAATAGAATATGGTATCACACGTAATGTGAATGTTACCAGTTTTGTAGACATGTATTTTGGCGAATGCATCTGCCTTACAAAAGATGTAAGGGCTGCCAATGGCTGGGCCAATAAAATAAAATTAATTTTTATGCCGCCAGGCTGGGCGCCAGGCGATCTGAGCCATACCGCCAAAACAGTAAGGGGCAATTTTTTAAAAGGCCGCGAGCACCTGGCAAAAACCAGTCGTGACTACATCCTG